ACCTTCATCAAGAGTAGGAAAGGTAATACATAATGGTTGTTGATTCAAGTTTGGAGCTGTGAGCTCCCTCAAGGTCCTTGTCTCGAGAGCCATGTGGAATGACTCTTCGGATTCGCTAGAGCTAGAGCTAGCGTTTGAGGATTCCTCCGAGGGTGTGTGCGGAAACAAATTTCTCAACCTCTCGAAGGCTTGTTCTATTTCGGGGTTTGTTTGGTAAGTAAGCTCGTTTATTGAACGGGTTTTTACCATATACTCATGTAAGCTCAGAAATAGAAAAAAGTAAGAACTCTTTATATTTTATTTATTTAATTTTTTTTTTATTTTGAAATAAAAGAAAAAGAAAAATAATTGCCTTTCCCCGGCAACGGCGCCAAATTTGACGTGCACTTTGTCGTGGTGTGCACTCAAAATAATAATACAATACACCAATTATACGTAGTATAACGAAGTAAGGTTCGTATCCACAGGGAAAGGAATACTTTTCTTTTTATAGAACTGGTAACAAAATGGGGGGTTTTAGTTTGATTTGGTTTAATAAATTAAACACGAAGATGAACGAGTTATGTGGTTTAATTAATAAGAAGGAGACTTGGCTTTGCTTTTATCCACTTAATGAAATGTTCGTCGATCCCGGTTATATCTTTAACTATCTTCCTCTCGAATACTCAATCGAGGAGTATATCCAGTTCATCGAGGGTAGTTATTAATAACGAGACGCGTTCATTAATAAAACTTACTACCGAGTCAATATAGAACAAGCGCCGTATATTAACTCGATAGTAGCAATAAAATCAAGATGAAAACGATTGAGATTGATAACCTCAACACAAGCGGTTTATTGGTTTAATCAATATAATTAATTCCCCTTGGTTTATTAACCATGAGAAGCATGCATTAACAACCCAAGTTTACTACTATTGAAAGAACCGAATTAATAACAAGCGTATTAACCGATTGATTCTAGTAATAATTAATATATGAAACAAAACTAGTTGATCCTTTAAGTGATGTTCAAAATATTAATATGAAATATGAATAGGAATTAATTAATATTCAAGGAAGAATATTAAAGAAGATGAATCCTACTATAGTTAATATCAAGATGTTAACTAATTGTCATCTTAGTAACACTCCCCAATATTAACATAGAGGAAGAAATAGCTATTACTATAATTAATGTCAAGATGTTAACTAATTGTCATCTTAGTAACACTCCCCAACATTGATATAGAAATAGTATTTAAAGGAAGAATTAATATTCAAGGAAGAAGATTAAAGGGAATAACTCACAACTTACAATTTCATTAAGCTTCAAAGTAGCAAAACCAAGATGGAAGAGTTTAGCTCCTCATTTGGAGACTAAACATGCTATAAAAATATAAAAGAAATACTATTCTAAACTGAGCTTAAGAGTATGGAAGAAGGGATGATTAAAAGTGAAGGAAAATGAGGCTATTTATAGGTGTTTTTCAACACCTTTGGCCGGGTACCCGACCGGGTAAAGTGCCCACCCGACCGGGTGCATGTCAAAATCAAATATCCTACACGTTCTGGCGATCTTCGGCACGTTCTGGTGTTCCGGGTCAAGTCGGACCCGACCGGGTGAAATACCTCACCCGACCGGGTGACGTAATTTCCTGAGTACCTGCATCTGTTAGATCAGACCCGACCGGGTGAAGTGCCTGACCCGGCCGGGTCTGTGCACCTGGATATTTTTCTTCTTCTTTTTCACTTCTTTTCCTTGCAAATAACTCTACTACTACTTTACAATTTACAAAAAATGATTAAAATCAATTACAAACAAATGAAGATGACTGCTTAAAAACTAACTAAAAACGGTAAACAATCCACACAGAATAGATATAAAAACACACATTTATGCACTACAAACTAGTGCATATCACCTCATTCCCTAACTTAAAAATAAATTTTGCAGTTGGAAAGATTGGCAACTTTGGAGCTGCAGGCTTCATTATAAGAGGTCATCATAGCTCCTTCAAGGCTATGGAGCAATAGCAAAGGCCTTTATGGAATAGTCTGATTTAGGGGCTGTTTACTTTTTTTTTATTAAGTCCTGAATGAATTAAGACGTCTGTCTGGATTAAGATGTCTGTCTGGATTAAGTGACACTGATATAACAAACTGTTTACTATATGCGCTGAATGAGATGTCTGAATTATGATAAATGACCAAATAACCCTCGTGTCTAGAATAGTACTGAATGTATACTGTCTGTTTACTTTCCTTGTTCTGAACGATAATTTCTTGTCTGAAAAACATTATATTATGAATTACTTAAATAAAAGAGTCACATTACATTATAAAAAGTCAAGAATTTTACACCAATATTTTAAAGTTACTAGTCTATTAACGATTTCATCTCGGAAATTTGACATTTACAATACTACCCAAATGTACAAAACTGATTTTTTACCAAATCATGTTTCATTTACACAATAAAAAATAATTCCTTTTTATAATACGAGTATCTCATCAGTACATATAAAAACATTCCAAGAAAATTTAAGTTATACACCATCAAAATTCATAATGAATATACAATATAAATTACAAGAAAACAAGCACACGCTTCCCATTGCTTAATGCAGGACTATAAACTACATTTATGTTAACAGCTTCAGTGGACATCTATCTTTGAACTTGAGCTAGTATTGCTCATGCATTGTCTCTATCCTTTTCCAATCTTGCAATTACGGCATGCAGCGCAATGCTGCCAAAATAACATTATAAACAACTTTAGCACATTCATTCCTATCATTGGTTCACCAGAAGATGGTACATGCAAGTATAACACTTTCATGTTTCAAATGAACACAACTGCAGCAAAAGGAAGTATAATCCGCAGTAAATAGGTATAACAGAAGATTATATGGTGCAGAACATGAACAAGTACTCCCTCCACCCAAATTCCCATTTCATGAAAGAAAAATAAGAACTATGAAAATATCATGTAGTAAATCTTAAAAACGGGTCTCATTTTGCTCGGATCTGCTCTGTAATCCAAACTTCTCCATCTCTAACAGAAGGGAAATTCATAACACGACATGACAGATCCACAACAGTGATAGTTTGATACCAAAAGAACAAACTTGCATGGGGTTTCAAAACGGATTACATGCTATGGTTTCAAAACAAATTGTAGGAAATCAGGTTAAGATTAAATTCCCAACTTGACAACATTGGTATAGTTTAGTATAATTTGACAACATTAGTATAATTTTCCAAACTTTGGGATTGTGCTTAAAAGAATGAAGATGAATATATAAACATCTCCAAAACCAATAAGTAAAAAATGCTAGCATGAATCAGAAACTAGCAGATAGACAACCCAAGTGTTTATAATAATATGCCACATTAAATTTAAGTTAAATTCTATGAATTTCACAAAATATATATAAATGGAGTGAATTTACTGAAAAAAAGAAACTGGTTTGACCTAGGCCATACCAGCAGTTCACGGCTTTCAAATGGAAGAAACAATCACTATTTGCATTCATCTCCCACAATTTGTAAAATGAGTGAATTTTTCAGGAGAAATGAAATTGATATCATCTAGCCCTCCCAAATTGTTTAAGGCTTTCAGAAAAATAAATGATTTTGCAAAACCCTTGCAACCCATTCACATCGCAGGAGCCATAATTTGAGAATCCTCCCTCAATTTGAATAATTTGAAAAATAAAAATGGGAACCAAAAAGCCTAGATCTTCCAGAACAACGTAACAAGAAACTCAAGTCAATATAGCAAACTTCAAGCGCCAGTTGAAGCCTTCTTTTATCTAAGAAGTTTAGAGGCTATTTTAGATATAGCTCACGGAGAAACTTTACAATAAAAGAACAAAAAAAAAAAACATAAAACCTAGATGAGAGGAAATACCGAAAGGAATGAGTAAGGGATGATATCTTTTGCTGTCTAGGTCCGATCGTCGAAGTCTCGAAGCTCAAGTTTGTTAAGAGCTTTGTGATGTTGGCGTGATATGTCTTGGAGAAGCGATGAAATACTGGGAGGGATAATTCAGGGTTAAAAACTAAACTCCTCGCACCGGCTACATACGTCTGAAGCGGAAGGAGTGCTCAATTCTGGCTGAGCGAATAAGTCACAAACGGTCTGACCGAATAAGTCACTTTTGTGGTTAAGTCATAAATAAACAAGGTTGTATAGCTGCACGATTAAGTCGTCCATTCAATTCAGTTCATTAAGTTGCAAGTAAACGGGGCCTTAGACAAATAGCCATAATCCAGACATTAGTATACAGCTCCAACCCGTTGTGCCAAACATAACCTTACGACTTAGAGTCTTGTAAGCAAGAGAAATAACTTCAATTCATTAAAGTAAAAATGAATTGGGATGGATGCTCTCCAAATAGCCAAAGTAAACAACTAAAATGGTAAACCTAGCTAGTAGGTAATCAAATCTACAAATCTGTGCACCGGCTAGTAAGATCAATCACGTAAAACTTAAATATAAACTCTTTTCAGCAGCTATTCCCTGTGAAAGAAATTCTCCGTAATGTTTTGCACGACGACAACAGCTTTGAATGACCGGTGAACAAAATTCGGAAAATCGCCCAGTCCGCTAATTCTGAACTTCTTCCAAATGGGTTTTACCCCGACCTTTTCCAACAAAATCCAAAGAGAAGATGTCCTACTCCTCGGCATTAACAGCACCACTTCCCCCGCTGGAGTAACGGAAAAACTGCCCAAGAACTTATCACCGTCTAGTAGTCTGGGTAACCTGCTGGCCTCCACTACCTCCGGTGGCAGGGCGATAGCATGCTTCTTGTTCCAGCAGGATGAAGATGGCTCAAAGCTCCAAGTAATAACCATGCCATTACATATTGGAGATAAATCATAATCATAATTGTTTAATGTATTTAATTAATTATAATTCCAATCTTATCTCTTAGTTAGTTACGGATGATCCATCCATTGTATCCCTATATATACTCATACATATTTCAATTGTAAATGCAATACAAATCCTTAGTTCTCAATCTGTTTTACATGGTACCAGAGCCTCCGATCCCTTCCATATAACTTTTTTTCGGCCTTCCTACTTATCCACCATGGCTCCACCTTCCTCTGAAGATATTGAAACCAGCTCCGATCATATCTCTACTGAGATCCATATTCCTAATTCCTCTGAGCCTCAAAAACCTCTTATCTCCATCAATCTTGGCAATGTGATCAAACTCACTCCCACAAATTTTATTTCTTGGCAACTCCAAATTCAATCCATTCTCACCGGCTATAATCTTGATGGATACCTTGATGGATCTCATCCATGTCCGCCTGCCACCGTTGTTACCAATGGTGTCATCTCTCCTAATCCGGCCTATTCTTCCTGGGTTCGTCAGGATAAATTGATTTTCGGTGCTCTCATTGGCACTCTCACATCATCCGTCGTCTCTCTTATCACACGTGCCAAGACCACGAAGGATGCTTGGGATACTCTTTCTTCTGTGTACGCCCAACCCTCTCGTGGACACATTAAACAACTTAAATCTCAAATGCGGAAATATACCAAAGGATCTAAAACGATCACCGAGTATATGCACTTTCTCAAGACCGCCGCTGATGAACTAGCTCTCCTGGGAAAACCACTGGATCACGAGGATTTTATTGACACTATTCTTAATGGTCTCGATGATGGATACAAATCTATTATTGAGGCTGTTGAAGGACGTGAGACGTGTATCACGTTTACTGAGCTTCATGAAAAACTCATTAACCGGGAGCTTAAACTACTCCAAGAGTCTGAGTCCTCTTCTTCTCCTATCACTGCCAACGTAGCCAAGGGTCCCTCTTTTTCTGGCTCACGTGGTCGTGGTGGCCGCCATAATCCATCTTCTGGCCGTGGATCCTCTTCTGGCCGCAACTCTTCATCAGGTGCCTCCCCCCGCCCTTATCTTGGTACGTGCCAAGCCTGCAGAAATCAAGGCCATACGGCCAGAAACTGCCCATTATTTCGGCTGACATCAGCAGCTGGGTCTCCTTCATCAGGCTGGTTTCCACAATCCCCTCCTAATTGGCCACCTCGTGATTCCTCTTCTCCATGGCAGCAAGCTCCTAGACCGGCTTGGAATGCTCCACAAGCTCATACAGTTTCTGGGGCTGGTGTTCTTGGTCCCGCACCTTCACCTCCATGGATTTTTGACAGTGGGGCTACTCACCACCTTACTTCGGATCTTGACAACTTATCTCTTCATGCTCCCTATTCCGGCACAGATGAAGTCGTTGTTGGGAATGGTAGTAGTCTCCCTATCACTTTTACGGGTTCAGGCACCCTCTCTTCACCCACTCGATCCTTTCATCTAAAAAATCTTTTATGTGTTCCTAATATTCATAAAAATCTTATTTCTGTGTCTCAATTTTGCCATCAAAATAATGCCTCAGTTGAATTCTCACCATCTTCTTTTTGTGTTAAGGATCTAATCACGGGGGCACCCCTCCTACAAGGCCAAGCTAAGGACGGGTTGTATGAATGGCCCTCCATCTCCTCCTCGGTCCAAGCTTATTCAAGTATTAAAGTCTCGTCTCATCAGTGGCACTCCCGTCTTGGTCATCCGTCCCAGTCTGTGTTCCGGCATTTATTATCTAAATTTTCGTCTCAAATAAATCATGTATCTCCCATAGAATTTAATTGTGATTCGTGTCATTGTAATAAGAGTCATAAACTTCCATTTCATATGTCCTCCATTAAATCTTCTCAGCCTTTAGAAGTTATTTTTTCTGATGTTTGGATCTCTCCAGTTGTCTCGTTTGACAATTTTAAATATTATGTCATTTTCATTGACCACTTTACCAAGTATATATGGTTTTATCCCATGAAAAACAAATCTGATGTTCGGTCTATATTCCAAGTCTTCCGCTCCCTCGCCGAAAATAAATTTGGTTTCAAAATCAAAACCTTCTTTTCTGACAATGGTGGAGAATTTACAGCCTTATCCCCATACTTAGCCCAAACTGGCATAACTCACCTAACCTCACCCCCCCATACCCCTGAACACAATGGCTATGCTGAACGCCGTCACCGTCATATTATTGAAACTGGTCTTACTCTCCTTCACCAAGCTGCCCTACCTGCTGAATATTGGACTTATGCTCTTCCCACAGCTGTCTACCTTATTAATCGCTTACCCACACCTACCCTTAATTATTTTTCTCCTTATGAATGCCTTTACCACTCCCCGCCTAATTACAAGAAACTCCGGATTTTTGGGTGCTTATGTTACCCTTGGATTCGGCCCTACACCCAACATAAACTTCAATCCCGATCTACCCCCTGCATTTTTCTTGGCTATTCACTTAGTCAAAGTGCTTATTTTTGCCTTGATCCTATTAAACCCAGGATTTATGTATCTCGACATGTCACATTTGTGGAAAATGTGTTTCCGTATCCTACACTCACAAAAAAATTCCCCTCCTTCTACTACCACTCCATGGTCCCTACCTCATAAATTTCTCACTTATCCTACCCGACCACCTCCCTCACAACCACTAATTTTATCCAACCCACAGCCAAACCCCAATTTAAATATTCCATCTCCAACAAACTCCACTCATTTTTCTCGGTCCAATACCCACCCAACAAATTCTTCCCCACCTCCCTTATTAGATAATACCAATGCTTTATCTCGGTCAACCCCAACCCACCAACTTCCACATCCTACTCCTTCGCCATCTCACACGACTAATTCAAATCCAGCAAATTCAATCCCCTCCACATCAAATCATTCAAACCAAATACACTTAAATAATTTCTCATCTCCTCTCTCCACCATGTCAGATAATTCATCTCCCACTTCTCATAATCCATTCCCCATGCACGTGTCTCCTCCCATGCAATCCACTCCATCATCACCCCCCACGCATGACAACTCTCCTCCGGCTCCACCTATTCATTCTCGTCGTATAGTCACCCGCTCCATGAATAACATTTCTCGCCCTATCAATAAACTTAACCTCAACACTACTATATCTCCCGTGTCGCCTGAACCACGTACAGTAAAGGAAGCTCTATCTGACCCCAATTGGCGTCATGCTATGTCCGATGAATTCAATGCTCTCATTAAAAATGGCACTTGGACGTTAGTTCCACGTACTGGCCGGGAAAATATTGTTGGCTGCAAGTGGGTGTTTCGCACCAAGCGCTTGCCTAATGGAAATATTGACAGATATAAGGCACGCCTTGTCGCTAAGGGATTTCATCAACGTCCGGGAGTGGATTATACAGAGACCTTTAGCCCGGTTATTAAATCAACCACAATCCGGTTGGTTCTATCTTTAGCCGTCAGTCGTGGCTGGCCGCTCCGCCAGATTGATGTTAATAATGCTTTTTTGCAGGGTCATTTGCATGATGAAGTATTTATGCTCCAGCCACCGGGATTTGTTGATCCTAATAAACCCACCCATCTTTGTAAGCTTCATAAAGCTCTTTACGGTCTTAAGCAGGCACCTCGGGCGTGGTATCAAGAACTCAAAAACTTTCTTCTCCAGCTTGGATTTGTTAATTCCCGAGCCGACACCTCACTGTTTGTTTATCATCACAGTCATCATCTCATTTATATTCTTATTTATGTTGATGATATAGTCATTACTGGGAGCTCTCCAGATTTTATTGAAGCTTTGATCACCAATCTTGGTAGCCGGTTTTCTCTTAAGGACCTTGGTGAACTCTCGTTTTTTTTAGGAATTGAGGTTATACCTCATCCTGATGGCATTCTATTATCTCAGCAGCGCTATATTCTGGACATCCTATCTCGCACCAAGATGTCTGCATGCAATGGAGTGAGTACCCCACTGGCCTCTACTTCCAAACTCCGTCTTAACTCAGGGCACCCACTTGATGACCCGGAAGAATACCGCTCTGTTGTTGGAAGCCTTCAATACCTTGCTCTCACCCGTCCTGATCTATCTTATGTAGTAAATAAACTGTCCCAATTTCTACACCGCCCTACTACCGAGCACTGGGAAGCTACAAAACGTGTACTACGGTACCTCCGCCACACCAGTCACCACGGTCTCCTCTTGCGTCGTTCTTCCACCCTCTCGTTGCATGCATATTCTGATGCCGATTGGGCCGGCAATCCTGATGATTACACCTCTACCGGTGCCTTTGTTATCTTTCTTGGCCCTAATGCTATCTCATGGAGCTCACGAAAGCAACGTACAGTAGCCCGGTCCTCCACTGAGGCTGAGTACCGCTCTGTAGCTACTACTGCGGCGGAACTTCGTTGGATTCTTTCTCTTCTCACGGAACTGCATGTCCATATTCCTACTCAGCCAGTTATTTATTGTGATAATATTGGTGCTACACATCTTTGTGCCAACCCCGTGTTTCACTCTAGAATGAAACACCTTGCTTTGGATTATCATTTTATTCGAGAGCATGTTCAACATGGGATTCTTCGGGTTTCTCATGTTCGTTCTGAAGATCAACTTGCCGATTCTTTAACAAAACCTCTTCCACGGCGTCGGTTTCATGATTTACATCTCAAGATTGGAGTTCTTCCTAGACCCTCCAACTCGCGGGGGCATATTGGAGATAAATCATAATCATAATTGTTTAATGTATTTAATTAATTATAATTCCAATCTTATCTCTTAGTTAGTTACGGATGATCCATCCATTGTATCCCTATATATACTCATACATATTTCAATTGTAAATGCAATACAAATCCTTAGTTCTCAATCTGTTTTACATTACAGACATGTATGATAGCAAGCCGGCCATCCAATTCCACCAAGGTAGAATTTCTGACGAAATCATCATAATGTTTGCGTTCCACGGGAGGGAAAGGCATCCCGTGGAAACTCTCAGACTCAAGGTCGAAAGCCACTATGTAAAAGCCCCCTTCTACCCGCTCCCACCGCTCTATATTACAGGTCCGATTGTAGGAATAGATAACGCTGTCAACGCAAACGCTACGCGAGAAGTGACTATACGGCTGAAACAGCGGGGACGAGCTTTCGTCAATCTCCCGCCAGTATTCGCCCACTCGCACTGTGATCACCCAATGCTTCACAGTGCAAGTCTCATACCAAGCTTCCGACTTCAAAATCTTGTATGTTCGGGAAGAACCATCAAAGCCAAGGAGCACGCGAGGATCGGCCGGAGGCTTAGACCACCTAGGTGTCACGGGGAAGCCGATATGTTGCCCCGTGACACGGTCGCAAGTAATATATTCGCGATTGCTATTAACGAAACATAAAACTCCTTTGGCCAAAGACACGCAGCGGAGATGCTGGAGGCGTTCTTCCTCCAAATGCCTAACACGTTTTGCGTGAATGAGTTTTCCTTCTTCTTCATGGGAGTTGTAGTTTATGGTGTAAAACTCTTCTTGCTGCAAACCATAATATGAAGACCGCCTGTCAGGAACAAAGGGGGCCTGAAAAGAGAAGAGAATGGTTGTGCCCTGGATAGGACTCGTCGTCCAATTCACGTAGGACACCTCGAAACTTGGGTCCGTGAAGAATCTGGAGACGCAGTTTAACTTCCTCAATGATTGATGATCGAGTCGAACCAGAATCTCGAAAAGAATGTCTTGGTGAAGAAGGGATAGTTTGCCGATTTCTCTTGGACGGAGACTTCTTCTTCCAGGGGCGGAGGGCCTCTTCTTTTCTAAAAACTTTATTATGATGCTGTAAGTAAAATCTATACATTTATATATCCACAAAGATGTCGTTCTAATGGCTTGCATCTTCGATGTAGCGGCCGGGTAATATTACATGCTTCGCTATATATACACAGGCATGTGAAGTATTGTCCTAGTGGGTTTAAAATTCTTTCAGATTAACTCCAATCTTATAAGGAGTACTATACTTCGCTTGTAATACTTATATAACTTGCTTAATTTTTATTTTAGTGGAACATTGAAAAATACCAACGAAAAAATCAATTAAAATTAGAAATACTTTATATGGTACCTGCGGTGTCTATTTCATGTGACAGGCAACAAATTGCAATTTAGTCCTTAAAATATGATAAGAAGTTTCTTTAAGAAATTTACCCAAATAAAATTTATTTCCAGAAATATAACTAAGGTTGCTATGAGTATATATAGTATCATGTTCCCTTAAGTGTGAAAATAGAAAATAACTATATACATTATTATGACTAAAAATTACAACTATAGTCAACAATATATATAAAGGTTACATTTACCGAAAGTGGTTTATATATAGAGAGTAGAGGGTCACATTTTTGTAAATACTTTCAATGTAACAATTAAGAAAACGTTGCATAATCCTCTTGTGACATTTATCGGTTTTCAGGTATTCTTGGTAGGTGTATGATCCAACTTGACCGTTCTTTTCTAATTGTGTTTGTCATGTGATATGACGGTTCTTTCCCGGACACTGGTGCTCCGGGTTATTTTGTCTCCCTTGATGTGGGGAGTTATTTTGGTGTCTCGGCCAGTTTCGTCTTATCAGGGGATTCTGTCTGCCTTCTTTTAGGCTGCATAGAAAATGGAAGAGATCGTCCTTCTCCGGAACCACTTTTGTGCAAATAAAGAAGAGTTTTATGGAAAAGTTTTATTTCAATTTTATTTTCTTTTAGTAGTACATACTTTTAGTATTACAATATTTCAGTTCCGATTGTATTAGACTTAAATTTTCCTGTTTTATGTCTAACAAAAGCAGATTGCATTGTATGAGGTGCTCAGTTATATCTGTTTAGATGGGTGTCTTGTAGGGTTGGACTCGGGCCGGGCGGCCCGAACCGGAACCAGCCCGGCCCGGCCCGGCCCGGTCACTGTTTGAACCGGCACGGCCCATGGGCGGTTCGGGTCGACCCGGCCCGGTGGCTACCGGTTCTGGGCTCGGGCCTTCATTTTGGTGAACCGGCCCGGATTTAATTTTTTTTTTTTTGAATATTTTTTAAATTTTTGGGTTGGATTGGGTATTTTGGGCCATTTGAGGTGGTTTGGGGTTGAGGGGGGGGGGGGTAGGGGGTTGATTAGGAAAACCCAAAATATATATATAGAACCGAACCGGGCCCGGCCCGGCCCGGACCCGGGGTTACCCGGGCCGGTTCCGGGCCTCCCCTACCTTGAACCGAGGCCCGGCCGGTTCAAGGCCCAAACCGGGCCCGGCCCGGAACCGGTCCACCCCTAGTGTCTTGTATAACTTCTTGATTTTTTTTTATAAAAAGTCACTCTGTTATATTCAAGAAAAAGCATCTCCTTTTTAATCACGGATATCATATTGAGAATACAAAAAAACTTTTACTTCTAAGAAGTAAAAACGCGGGCCTAGAGAAGTAGAGGGAAAAAACAGCAAAGCAAGCAAACATATTACATCTACACTTTTAAAAGATAAGAATATGAATAATTTTTATATTTTTGGAAAATGTGACTAACCTTTGTTTTAATTAATAATAGGAAATTTAGATTTAATAATAATCTCAATTATTGGGGGTTTGTTCACAAGTCTTAAGTATTGATTATTTCATAATAGTCGTATGACTAGTCGGTTTTGTGGAATTTAGCTTCAAAATTGTAATATTTGAGAAAAATGCAGGGAAAAAGTTGAAGAACACTTTTCTTCTTGAGAGTTGAGACGTGTAACGTCGTAAAAAACATCAATAGATTTCCAATGTAGCATCAATAGATTTCCAATGTAATGCAAATGAGACGTACTGACCTCAAACTTGGGCATCTTTGAATTCAATTAAAGGTATTGTTTCAAATTCGAGCTCGAAAAAGCACAAAAGTTAGGCCTTGTACTCGATCATACCGTGTCCACCCCTACACGGAGGTAAAGGGGGCCGTGTTGGGCCTTGTGCCCTTGTCTCATCTCAAATTTTAAAAAACCTTTGATTATTAGGATATAGATTTCATGTAAAACATTATATAGGAAAAAAATCTTTATAGCAGCCCAATCCAACGAAAAGCCTACCTAGTCATGGACCCGGTTCGGGCCGCCCGGCCCAGGACCGGCCCGGCCCGCCATTGTGCGGGCCCGGAACCGGCCCGGTTCTCGGGTCCGGGTCGGGCCTAGGCCCGGTGGGGGGGCGGGTCCGGGCTCGGGCCTTGTATTTGGCGAACCGGCCCGGCCGGGTCGGGCCCGGGCCAAAAACTATTTTTTTTTTTGTTTTTTCATTTTTTTGGGCTTTATTGAGTTGGGCTTGATGTTTAGGACCGGTTTGGGGGTGGGGGGAGGGGGGGAGAAAAGAATAGGAAAAAAAAACAACTAACCGGGTGGCCCGGCCCGGAACCGGTGGCAACCGGTTCGGGCTCGGGCCCAACAAAACAGACCCGAGGCCCGGCCGGGCCCAGGCCCGAACCGGGCCCAGGCCCGAACCGGGCCCGAACCGGGCCCGAACCGGCCTGAGGCCATCCCTAAGCCTACCTACACCCCTGTATACAAAGATTCAGGAAATGTCGCAAGTGTCTAAAAGATATATGGAGGGAGAGCATTGCAGAGGTTGCGGGAGTATATACAAAACTATGTTTCTTTCCAGACATAGGTCACATAGCGCACATACAAAAACCATTTAATTCATTTATAGAGGATCAAAAGCAATTATCTAATCAAAAAGAAATATAGGAACTAGCTGAATTTTTTAATTTGGACCAAATACCTTTTAGTCTGATAGCATCACGGTCAATCTCTCAAAGAGGAAGTCGCAGGTTCAAGTCTCATACCAATCAAGGATGTTAGCATTATCTTTATCAGATACTATAATAGGATTAAAAATGTTATTCCAAAAAAATCAGAAAGAAATAAACAATTACATATCTCAAAATTGAGTATACATATGAATAGATCTTATAATAACAACCCCGAAAGCAGTTATCTCTAATGTCACATTCCCTTCTGGCCACTTGAAACAATGGGAGATTGCAGCAACACTTGCTCTGCCATGTTTCTTTTCTTTCTCATCGTCCAAAAAGCAGCGTAGTAGCGGTTCTGTAATCATATGAATTAACCTCAGGATAAGCCTTCTAGTGTAAATGCTCAAAAAAGCAAAACCCATTACAACTTTACAAGTCTCAAAGCAAAGAAAGTTTTTGGGATTTACGTCAATTGGATGTGCACATATCCAGTTTTTGGGTTTGCGCTTATAAAAGTTACGAGTACATGATATACTTTGAAAACAGAAAATGTGGCCTTGTCTAAGCAGCAATCACTTGTTAGCCTGATGTTATACCGTGAGAGTGGCTCATAGTGAGCATTATATTCCCATAGCTAAAACGGCATCATTTGATTAAAGTTTTAACTAAAAAATGCGGATGAACAATAACTATGATTTTTGTCTCAACTTTTTTCATGATGTAAACCCGTTGTGCTGAAATGTAACTCGCGTTGGTACACATATAATCTCAATTGGCGGCAAATGCAACTCATACACTTGAGTGTAACTCGTGTTACTCCCTCCTGTAGTTAGTTTCTCGCCTTTAATATATAAAATATAAACCGCGTACATGCAAAATGTTATTCCAAGCAAGTCGAGATGTAAAAAAAAAGTTCATTGAAATGTAATTTGTTGAGGCAAGTCAAAATGTAAATGGCATTAAAATGGAAATGTAACTTGAACCAAGTCGAAATGCAACTTGAAGGAATGTTACAAGTTTTCAAATACAAATACAAATATTTATTTAGATCAATAAAACTTTATTTTTGAATTGATGGAGGGAGAAAAATCCTAGGTTTATTTTGAAGATAGAGAAGAACGAAATTGTTCGATTATTAATAATTTGATGGAGAAAAAAATAATTGAAGGATGAGAAAAGAAGAAGAAAACCCAGAATTTTGAAGATGAAGCAAAAAGAAATTGTGGTTAGACTCTTAATATTTTGATTAAGGAGATGGAGATAATTGAAGAAGACAAGAGAAAATGAAGAAAAAACCAGGGAGAGAGATGACCGGAGAGATTGACAGAGAAGAAGAAGAAGAATAGACCGCTGAAGAAGAGAAGAAGGTATAAACGTATAACCGGAGAGATTGACAGAGAAGAGTCATCTAACCAACACCCCTCCCCCTAAATCCATCTAACAAAATATAAAAATATGTAAAATCATATATTAAATAAATAAATAAATAAATAAATAAATAAATAAATAAATAAATAAATAAATAAATAAATAAATAAATAAATAAATAAATAAATAAATAAATAAATAAATAAATAAATAAATAAATAAATAAATAAATAAATAAATAAATAAATAAATAAATAAATAAATAAATAAATAAATAAATAAATAAATAAATAAATAAATAAATAAATAAATAAATAAATAAATAAATAAATAAATAAATAAATAAATAAATAAATAAATAAATAAATAAATAAATAAATAAATAAATAAATAAAAGTTGAATAATCATAAGATAGTAACACAAATTATATAGTGCACATTTTTCATTAGTTTATAGTGGTTTACTGGTTAATTTTGACCAAATAGTTGACACTAAAGTTCATGTCACCCAGCCCAGCATAGTAGAGATTAAGCTGCTAATGATGGTGATGATTAAAACAGCATAGCATACGAGAAAAGAAAAGCAATTGAAAGAGAACAAATTAATTCAAAAACAAAATTATGCTTACTTGCATCATTGCGCGTGGGTTAGTTGTATAGGTTGTCTCAAATATTGACTCTTTCTGCATTTCACAATGCATATCCAGACTACTAGTCAAATGCCAAATAATACTGAAACTACACAAAAGTAGCAAAAGCCCAATTTACCTCAAGTTCAAATCCATAATGAAAAGCAACCTTTTTCACATCCTCTAGACTTAGCTCAATTGACATTTCCTGAAAATTGTGAAGAAGAGCTTAACCAAATGGAGAAGCACTAGCATAAAGATATTACATAGATGAATCATCTGCCAGCTCATTAAGATTCTGTTTGGAAGATGAAAAATACTAGGGATAGAAACAGGGGAAAATATTAAATGAAAAATATGGTAAGAGACAAAGATAGGTTCAAACTCAATAAAACTGTATTTTAGATATTTCTTCATAATCATTTAAATTATCACTTCTATTCTAAAAAACTAAGAGATCTAAATACATGTAAAAATAAATAAAATATGATATCATTTTCTTTTGCATTTTCAAGTATAACCAAACCTAGGAGAATAACTTTCCTTAGCAGATTTTTTCTCCCCCTAATATTATCCGAGAAGCAAACATATCTTAAAAGAAAGCTTACATCTTCTAGACTATACATATCAGCAAAATGATAGAGTAATGGGCCCAGGTTTATCCAGACCTGTCAGTAAATCACAGTTTAGCTATAAAAAGTCATTAGAAAGTGAACTCAAGGTCGTTCAGAAAAATACAACTTACTCCATCATCTTTCAAAATTTTGGAAATGACCTCGATATACTCAACAATGTTGTGGGCAGTGTCAAGAAAGAAACAAGTGACAACTGCATCCCATAATCCTGGAAATTTCACAAACAAATCATAATGATCCACTCACTAAAGGCGCTAACACAATTGCACCGACAGTGCAGGGAACTTAATCAAAATTAACAATGAAACATTGGGAGAAGAAAGCATTGCAGTGCCTGCAAATTTAGTGTCCGTACTGATGCCATCCTAGGAAATTCATAATTAGCCCCCCATGTGAAATAAAGACAAGCAAGATCACCAAAATGGCAAAATAACATTATATTGCGCTAAGAAATACATCCAATCACAGAAAGGGCTCCAATAACTGGGATCTTTTAGGAAGGCACTTAGTTCTATGCCCGAAATTTACATTTTACACTGAACTGAAAGTCTATGCAAAAAATTGTTTGCCATCAAATTACATTGTATCATCCAAGGGATCAATTCCTACTAGTTTATGATCTAAGTTGCAGCCAATGTGTAGGTTTAAAACTTGTTTGCAATCAAAATTTACACTGTATAATCCAAACGAGAATGACATGCATCTTTAGTCCTTCACAACAACAAAATCTCCAGAAGTAAAAATGTAAAACATAGGAAGTTCAAATGTCAAATATACAGCACAAGAATAGCGTTTTTTCTGTGTCCTCAAACTTTGAGAAGATAAAGAAGCCATACTGATTGCAAATTTTACCTTCTTGGCTCGGATCACTGTAAACCTCGACAAAATCACCACCGCACATTGAAAACCCTTCAGTAATTCCTGCACTGTTTCCAAGGGTACAAAGTGAGGATTTTCAGAATAGAGAGGTGATGGTGATGCTTTGATCAGGCATACTTCAGCTAAGTTAATTAGATCAACAAAACCAAACAAAAAACCAACTGCCTTGGTTCTCAAGGTCACCCTAGTATTCATAAACTCTATCAGCACATCAGGACCAGGCTCTTACTATCCACTACCCACAATAGAAATGCCTTGTGAATTAACATCTAGGCTTAATGCATGTAGAATAAAAATGTTTTATTGAGATTCAGTGTATGGTGAACAAAACTAAACAAGTGGATCTATATTTATATACAAATATAAATTTAGCGCTTACAACTTATATACTTTCTTAGTGCATAACAGTAGAAATACAGCGATTATGACTTATGACTAAAGCTTTGAAGCCCTAGAAAGCGTAGCACATACAACTTAAATACCAACTGACCACTAAAGATAACAAAGCTTGTATTAATGTGCCCTAAAATGATCTTCTACCTAAAGCGACAGTTTTATATGATTTGTCATATCATGATAAATTGGATTTGGGGCAATGTGCCACTGGTATAGTACTACCATTTTGCAACTTGTGAAGTACTTGTTTTAACCATAAGTTCGCACGTGGCTAGGGAGTAGGGCCACAGCACAATGATCAGTTTCTTAAGGCATGGGTCTATAGCACAGTACTCAGCTTCTTTATCTAGCCATAGCAACAATACTTTGCTTCTTACTTTCCATTATATTATATTGTCACTAAAATACAGCACTCAGAGATAAGAGCCTGTCAAAATGGACAACCTAGAATCCTACCCCATCTTATCTAAATCATCATCATCATCATTACCACAGTGCCGCAAAGGCTCCCTAGTGGACCTAGGTATGGCAGTGTAATCCAGTGAAAGTTCGCAGTTTGGTTCTGAATACCAGATATGCATAAACACATTAAAAAAAATGCATAGGTTGGGAGAAGCTCTGTTAATGCAGAAATTATATAAAGTGACTATAGAAGGTCTAGGATAGTGCACTGATACGTGATTAATGAGATTTTATTGACCTTCTGTGGACCAAAACTTATATTTGTATTTCCATACAAGAAAACGCATGTACGGACCAAACCCACTACCATTGTGTTTATGTTTCAAATATCCAATACAACATACTTCATAATATAGAATAAGTCGCATGTAACACCTAACTACATTCTTTTGTGTTAGCTTTTTATCTTTCATCTTGTAAGAATACAACCATTACAGGATAAGTGAATAAAATGATTATAAAAAGTTATGATTAGTGTTGTGTATTAGTGATAGATTAATTAATTAAATAAAAAAGAACAAGACATATGAGCAGAAAGATGTGTATTTGTGGCATAGAAAGGACAAAAACCTAGCAGGATGAATATCTGGAATTGAGATCGGACGAAGCTGATCACTATCTGCAAGTGAATTGCAATTGCTGTGTATCCAAGGATAGATTGTCCACTCCCCAGCAGTTTGAGTGCTAATAAAACAAAACAAAACAAAAAACAAGTAACCCGATCTTAGAACTATCTAACCAAGATTTCATTTAATAATGGACGATGAATTAATTATTACATTCTTACGTGTTAAGGATAAAACTGGAACAGATCATCATGTAGTATGAAAATTCATTTCCTTGACTTGCAAATCCTGTTCCATAAAAAATCAAATATCACATTTAGTACTTAGAATTTGTATAATTCATCACAACATAGATATATAAGCTTACCAAGACATGAAATGTCTAAAGCAAGCCTTCCAAGTCCAGCACCAGGAACTAAGCAAGTTGGAGGACTAGGAATAAAGAAAAAAGCAATTTCAGTGTTCACCTATTCTAAAAAAATCTAGAATTTGTGGTTACTCACAGAAATATAGTACATACAAACCTTTCTTTACTACGATTAGGAAACAATTGTTCAAGTTCTTCTAAAATTGGCTTGTAGCACTGATCTCTTTCCTTTTGCCCCTGTAAACATAACACACCGAAGCAGGATGCAGTTAATGCTTATTTTGTGGTTTTGCAAAGGGGTAGATAAAAGTCAAATGGATATGTTTTATGAAGGGTTGTAAAAGAACTTTACAGGATATGTTTATTTTTGGGTATTTACTCTTTAGAGTGATCATGACTAATTTTGGAATATAAAATTCTCATTAAATAGTGTCTCTCCAAAGAGAGCATTTCAAAAAAGTCTTAAATTTGGGCTTCTGAAAAAAAGGCATATCAGCTCGCCTGCTCAATAAATGCACGTGAAAATCAACTATGTGGAAACCACTGCTTGTCCTAGCTTAGTAGTTTAAAGCTCTATGAAGTAGATAAGAGGCAATAAGCTGCAGGACAGAAAATCACTTAATATTCTAAATTTTCTTTTATAGTTCCTTGCATGGATGAGACACTGGAAGTGCTGTTGACCTTAGTACCTTACAACGCTGAACAGAATATGACATTCCATATCTTCCATTTACGTTGTCTATTCAGGAGTCAAAAATGTTAAGTTTGACTCATTTACTAAGACATGATAGAGAGCAGGAAGAGCATGGGGTGGGAACGGGCTTGGGCCCACTTCTGTGGGCCGGTTATGGGCTGTCGTTATAGTTTTATTTAATATTGTTAAATTAATGTTATGTTTTAGTTTGAGCCTATTATTAGTAGAATACATAGTAGAGTTAGTATGGGCTTAATTAGGATTTAATTAATTTGGGCTTGATTAGAGTTTCTCTTAGAAGGCGATTTATACCCCTTGCCAGGGTTCAGTCTTGAGTATCTTGGAATAAAGTTGGATTTCAGCCTTTTGGCTCTGGGCAACGATTTTTATCGTTGATTATCTGGGCAACGGTTTACCCCGTTGATTTTATTTTGCCGTTACATAACAACATATTTATTTGAATGTTAGAGGTAGCACTTTGTGAGTCAAGATATACTTTTAATGAAGTCTCTTAAAATGACACACCCCACACACACACTGACACACATTAAGTCAATCAATTTGACTTCAAAACAACATATGAGACAAGATGAATGGGCCAGAGAGAGACCTCCAAAACTTTGAAGAGAAAAATGGATGAAAACACACAATTACCTCAGCTGCCCAATCTCTTACAATATTTCTTATAATACACCTGACCTGACAATGATGAATGCATTAGCAAAAAAATAAATATCCATTAAGTAAATGACAAGTTGACGCATAGGACTACGGGGTGAGGGTATTTTAGTTTTATCTTGCACACCCTTTTATTTTTTCAAGAGTGAGGAAAGTAGTTAGCTCCCTTTCCCCATCCATTAACCTAATATTTCTTATATTAGAATGACACCTTATTTGTGTATAGTGTGCAAGTAGCATTTAGTACTTCAATACTTCTTAACTCATTTTGATATTAGATATTTCAAAGAACCCTTTCTTGCAGGCTGCATTCAGAAGAATTCAGATGCTGCAGAACATTGTTGTGTAAAATTAGAATAGGAAGAACAGAAATGTCTCTTATATTCAAAAGATGGTTTGACAGCCATTAATGGCCGAATAGATCAAAAGAACACTGTTTTTCTTACCGCCTCATGTATCAGGCTATCGGCTAAATTTGTAAAAAAACATGACAGAGAAGGAAAAACACCTTATCTACATCTACTAATGGAACATGTGACTGTGACGATGGGCTCAACCCTTGAGGAGAGGATGAAGAAATCTGAAACATAAGAGAACACTATAAGAGAACATAGTGTGAAACATAAGAGATCACTCAAAGAGATTACAAGAGAACATTATAAATCTCAAAAACACCTTTATAATATAAAAAATTAAATTTGCACTGTGTAACTTAAGAGAACACTTAAAGGTGTTTCTGGCAAAAAAAATCCTTTGTTTTGCTTTTAACTTAACGCATACAACTTTTCTATTATGTTTCAGGAATTAGTGCAGGATTAATCATGACATGGGGAAGATATTTAGTTCTTATAGAATGTTTCTCAATCAGAAAGCATTTTTCCATATGATGCATCAATACTTTTATGGAGCAAAGTTTCTTTATTTTGAAACCTAAAGCTCTGATAAACTCCCCTGGCATGTTGTCACTATCCAAAAAATTGATATTGCACCACACATGCCTAACAGGACAAAAGAACCTCTTTCCAATTTCTCAGTTCTAGAGGTCAATAGTTATGACATCGGCTTATGGCTAACACTATTTAATGCAATATTCGATTTTTTTAAAGGAGCATTATGAATATTTTATTTGAAGTTTAGAACTAGTATATTTTTTAGTGATTATCTAGTGAACTTTTCATTTTCCATCATTTGCAATGGAGCCAAAGACTCACTATTTTTTGGCTTGGGAATATGATGGAATAAAGCAAACTGGCTCACTTAATTGTCTGTGTTTCGTTTTTATGAAGCAGTAGTCAGTCCGTGCAATTTTCGATGCGATTTCACTATGGGTCATCCAGAAACAGTCTCTCTATGCTTTAGTATAGGGGTAAGACTGCGGACATCCGACTTCCCCTTACCCCACTGTAGGTGGGAGCCTTTGCGGCACTGGGGTAATGACAATGAATGAATGAAAGAATCTAGTGAACTTTACAAGTAATAAGTGAAGTGCATACTTGCATATTCTCTTGTGTTTCTGTTTTCAATATTTTTAGAAAACAACGTTTCATTGTTTCTAGTTTCCTAGCATCATAGATGTCCTTTAAGGTGTTAACAACATAGCAAAATAGAAGACTCAAACAAACCAGGACAAAACTAAATAGACCTTAAAATACTTTCACTTCGAAGTAACAAATTAATTATATATTGTATTTAAAACTGGTCATTACTCACAAATAAATGATCAAAGAATGCTGTAAATTATAAATGCAGTAAGATGCTCTCTCCGTCCCAAAATAAAAGTTATGTATTTCCTTTTCGGGTTGTCTCAAAATAAAGGTTATGTTTCTTTTTTGGCAAATGATCCTACATACAATTCATTTTTACCCATCCTTTTACTTCAATCAACAACTCAGTCATTCCAACTTTACTTACCTTTTCACTGCTACAGGAAATGTGAAGGGTAGTTTTGGTTTTTTATCCCGCATTCCTAATCTACACGCCCAAAAGTTATGTAACTAGTATTTTGGGATGGAGGAGGTAGATTTTATTCAATTTCTCGACAGTCTTATCGATATTTTGATCGAGCACTTGGACGTAGATGTGGTACATTATGGGAACTCATAGTTAAATTTTACATGCTCATTGCTACGCCCAGAAGGATAATGTTTGTCAGGCCCTTGGAAATCTGTACCACAATCAGCGCCAGGATGTTTCAGACCAACGGTAAAACTCACACCACTCAACTCATTTGAATGCTCAGTTTTATCCTCCTGTGGTAGGCTACAAAGGTTAAGTTCATTGTGAAAACAAAATAAAGAGAAACAGCAGATTTCAGCTTCAAGAAATTATAGAAGTAAAGGAGACAATAGAAATACCTTATTGACAACACATGCCCCAGGGGTACCATTGTCATGATCTGTGGCTATTGCTTTAACAGATTCTTGACAGTCCAATCTATCACCTCTAGTTCTAATGATATCCTGATGCTGCTCTTCACAAATATCAGTATCCAGGCTAAGATCTAGTGGGGGCTCAAATGCCTGCCACGATGAACAATGAACTTTATCTTCTTAGTGTACCTCCAGGTACCAGAAACCAAACAAAAGTACTTTACCAAAAAAAAGTATAAAAAACAATTTGAGAAAGAAACGATACGAAAAGGCAAAAAAGTTTGAATGACATCACCAATCACCTTCAGCATCTCAAATATGAAATATGAATTTTGAGCAATACACCTGCAGCATAAAGCGATAATTAAGGAAACTAATAAAATTCATTAATTACTAAGTGCAGCTTTAATCCCCGTGAATATATCACGGTTTATCAAAGCTCACCATTCGTTCTTTTTTTAAAATCACAGATGCAATTGAAATTAAAATCTAACTAACTTTGCAAGTTGAAACTAGATAATGCTATATATGAATGGGAAGTGGTGTTTTTGAGTAACTGGTGTTCTGATCATAAAATGACAGTTCCTTTTTTTTACATGTAAGATCACATTTAATCCTCTCCCAAGAGATGCTCTCCTTATAAATGTCAGCCTGTCAGGCATATCTATGGAAATAGAGAGGGAGAAAAAGTGTACAGATTGACAAAGCCTATTCTCAAAGCAGTTATGAGCTGACCACCAAGATAATACATGACCAGCTCCTGACAGGCTGATAGCTACTTTGAGTTTAAATAAAATTTAATAGGCTTGTCAGTTGCCACTAACATTATAACCACCCCATTTTTATGACATGTGAAAAAGATTAGTGAATAGTTTTCAAAAAATAAACTTTAGTTACTTAAGGATAAATGTATCATATAGTATAATCATCCATATATATTTACCATCGTAGTTTCTGAAACTTCGCAGGAAGATGAGATAAGATAACCTGTAAAATAATATTCACTGATGAGGCAAAGTTTGAAGAATATGTAGGCAAAGTTCTTATTGGGAAGCAAAGAGTTGCTAAGTCGATGTAACTTATTGACGAAATGTTAGAAAATAGAGACTTGTGAATCTAATATTCTTATGCATCTCTCAGTGCAAATAAACACTTGGCTTTGGCCCCCTATCCTATCAAGAAATCAATCCATCCACATATGATCACGTGTGGTTTCTTGTTATTGACCTATACCTTCCACCTTTTTGGCATGTCCTTGACATCACCACCCGCCGGATCTCTCAACTCTTTTTTCTTAGAATGGTATCGTAGTCCCTCACGCGTCTTTGGCAGGTTGTTAGGTGACACTGTCCAACGACGTGATTAAGCTGTAAGTAATGTCACAGAAATTCATGGTACAATCACCTGAACTCAACATTTCTTTTTAGTTTTGGATTCCAAGCAGCGAATGTGCGGCCGAAAGTTATTTAAAAAAAAAAACAGAATTTGAGCTAAGGATCTCATGCTCATATTATGAACAAATTTGCACAAAATAATACTCCGTACTTAAAATAAGTCTAGGATGTTTGCACTTGGTGATCTCGAACAAACTATCGTGCCTCTACAAGTACCCACACAGATTGATCAACCAAGACAAAGAGTGACACTCCTTCTCCTCTTTTATTTTTGTGCATTATAGAAATTGAAATAATGCAGGACGGTGATGTGGTAGGCACGTGATGGCCAACAATATGTGGATTATATTTCACTAGTGAAATATAGACATCAAATAATCCACATACTAGTTTAATACGGAGTATATTTTATCTAAGACTACTCCGTATATTATTTGTTTAATATACTTATATCTATGACTAGTTAAATATAGTCATCATATAATCCACATACTAGTTTTAAAATAAATATGTCTCATAACGATGACATTAAACTCAGATAAATTAGACTATTGTGCTTATAAGAATGTGTGTAGCACTCCACAATCAAATCATATTCTTGATTAGTTACTGAGCATATTATTCTGGACAAAACATTAATACAGAAAACTTAATGAACTAGGAAGAATTCAATGTTTCATTAATGGATGGCAGGATGAGCATAAAATATAAACGTACAAATCATATCATATAAATTAGCACTAACAGTCTATAGGGTATAGATCGTTTTGTTCCTAAAGGAATTCATTATATATTTGTAAAGTTTAGCAATATATAGTATACCTACTCCTGAGAGTTCCGTTAGTTTAGATTGGAAGGCTGCAATAGATCAGTGACATATAGATGATAAAAGAAGTAACTCAGACGCTCAGCTAAAAATGATTCTAAAATCGTGATTCATCACTACTGTTGAAATCATCCACTTCAGCCTCATCGCTTGTTGCTCGAGCAGGGAATGGAAAGTGGGAAAAAAGGAAATTATAGTATTAAGGGGGTCTAACAATGCAACTTCGGACTTCCAAGATAACAAATTGTTATACACCGTCCAGGCATCCAAAAAGGAGTCATACTTCAGATACTTTTTTAAATATTGTCCTGTTTGAGCAACAGGAGCAAGTTTTTTAAGTAAGTTGGTAATTTTTTGTACAATAAATTTAGTTGAACATACAAGCATACTTAAAAATATAAGAGGGATTAATTATATGAAGCATTTGTAACATACCAAAAAATAAAAATGTACTTTGCTCGAACAAAACACTTTTAAAGAGGGAGGAAGTAATTCTTTTGCGGTAATGAGGTGGAAATCTATAACCAATACTTGATAAGAAAGATGCAAAATGCTTAACAGTTCATGAGAGCTCGAGTAAGGACTAAGGAGCGGATCCAGGACTTTTTTAGTGTAGCCTACCTAATTTAAATAAAATTAAAGAAGTACAACCTACACCAATTAAATCAGTTAAAGAAGTATAACCTGCATCAATCAAAATTAACATTTATTGTACACCTTCCATTTTCTATAATACTTCAAAATTTATCAAGGGGTATGTAATTACATATTAATTAAAAACGGGCTTATGCCCCCACTGGGGCATTAATAGATCCCACCCTGAGCTCGACTACAAGCTATGGTTAATTTGCTGGAAAGAGAGCGATGATTGAAGTTCAAAATGCACTGATCAGAGTTGTTCGCAAGAAACAAACTCTACCGTTAAAATGATGAGTATTACGGAGTATAATACAAATTAAAGCGTAAAGAAACATATTAATGGAAGGGAAAATCTTAACCTGACTCCGATAGACTTAAGAGCTAGTCCATCAAGCATGCATTTTGCATAAATTAAAATGCCAAGACATGCATTTCTATTTTTGATCATGTAAGTGAATATGAAACCACTGTGCAATATCAAAGTTACAGGGTGCAAAATAGAACCTTGTGTGGTTGTGGTAATTTTCTGAATGATCTTTCATATCTTTTTACATCCTCCTCCGAAGCTTCAGGATAGCTGCAAAGCAATTCATTCCAAACGTCAACTAAAGAGAAAAAACATAAAATCGCCAATGGCACAAAGTCTGCAATTAATACTAGCCCATAAAAAAGGTGTCTTGGTTACTGGTCTTCAATGCATGGGCATCGGTAAAACCTTCTCAAACAGTATAGCAACAGATCAACTATTGACGGTCGAAATCCTTAAACCTCAAAATTTGAATGCTGGAGAAAAAAGCTACAGATGTTCATACTTGAGGTACGCGTTGATGATGCGCCTTAAGGCTTGAACTTCTAAGGCTTCTTCCAGTTTCCTCTGACGCTCTACTTCGTCGGCTTTGTTAGGCATTTCTTTTACTCCGGTGACCTATCGCCGTCTCTATCTCGTGCTGAATGAATACGGTGGGTTCAAGTCCAGGCCCACAACCAAGTGACTCAGCATTAACTCTGTCACAGTTGTCTATCTCTCATTCAAAAAGTAGGGTTCAAGGCCAAGCGTGAGGATGAATTGAGTGGGGTTAGGCTTGAAGTAATTGAGATTATGCTATGTTCGTCAAGACACTTCAATCCAATGTTCAGTTCAGTTAACTATTTTTAGAATATTCTTATTAGGATCAAAGCTCGAACAGGCTTAACTTGAAATAAATGGATTGAATTGAACATTTGAATGGTTACACTTCAATGGAAAACTTATCAGCCTTTTTATCCCTAAATTATTCATAGGATTACTCAAACATATTAATCGCCAATCACAAGCGCCCCCACAATTTTTTACTTTATTAATCTTCGTGTCAGTCAAACCTGACAATGTTTTAAGGGCCGGATGGAGTATGTTAATCCGAAGAATGAAAACGTATATTAAACAGATTTTTTTGTCACATCACAGTCATGTAAAATATCTGAAATAATCTTAAAACTCATCAAATCCCCTCAACCATCATCTTTAGTTATGAGATTACTAGCATCTCACCTGTGCATTGCACGGGGTGTAATATGCAATATTATAAATGTGAATGTACAAATGCATTTAAAAATTACATAAATATTTATCACATGAATGAGAGAAATTGTAAATTATAATGAATATTATGATTTATTAAGCATACTCATTGTAAATTATTGAAGACTATGTATTGCAGTTTTTTCAAATTTTCTTCATCCTCTAGTATTACGAACTTTAAACCAGACATATTTATCGCCTCTAAATTACAACCTATGTACAACTATCCATATGTAAAAAGCACCTCGTGAGAAAACACATGTGGTTTTCAACAATTGCCCTTGAGTCTTGTTGACAGTCACTCTGTATATATATCTACGGTGAATTGCCTACACATAAGTGTGAAATGGTCGTAGTTTCGCATCTTCCAGGGTAAAAATAAATTGGGAATAAGAAACTTCTCATATTGTCAAAAAAACTTCTCATTTGTGCCTTCATAATAGAGGCTCGAACCATCATTGCTAAAAGTCGAGTACTGTTACATAGACCAAGTAAAATGATCTATATTACTCGTCTCTTACATTTCACACATGTGTTACACAGAATGCATGGTGCAATTATAAAGTTTTTGTAATGATATGGACATATGATGGTAAATACTAACGGACAAGACTGAAACTCCTTGAAGTCATCAACCAGATGCAAATAATCCGGATGGATTCTTGTTTGTGGATCCCTGGCTAGCAGACAACAGTGGACCAAAAACAAAGAACCTAACTTGACACAGACCATGAAATCTTCTCCGTCACGGGGGGTATCGTTGAGTTCTATAATCTTCGCCTTCAACGCGCCATAGCTTACATCATCACATCCACCAAAGTATTTGTCAACGTCTCCCAACCGGTAATCAACATCATACGCTAGCCACTCAACAGGATCTTGGATAGCAGTTATCCTCTTAAAGTCATCGTATGTGAATTTCATCAACCTTCCCTCCACGGCAAACCACGACTCATCCTCGGGCTGGTCGCGAACAAGGCGTAACAACAACAGATGAATCAGTTGAGCAGAGAATTGTATCTGTGCAACATCAAGCAAGTGTCCAAAAGGCGTCTTTGTAATCATCATCATCTGCTGCAATGTAAGGCATTCGCTAAGCAGGCCCAAGGCCGGCCTCTAAGAAGGAAGACCGTACATAGTATTTGGCGGGAAAGTAATCTTTAAAAGGAATTTGCAATTCCATCCTGAAAATATTCCATCGCAAGATGTCTCGTCGCTTTTGATGACAACTTCCTATTGCAACGAAATAGTCTAGATTTTGTGGGACTCATGGGGTGATTATGTTGTAAAAACACTTTTGAATTTTCCCATGAGCCAACATAAGTAGTGTGTGCTCTAATTCTTGCCGAACAAGATGTTTGCATTAAAGCTTGAGGCTTCAAACAGTCCAGTGCCTTGTTACCTCTACTTCCCGCCCGTGAACACTCTATCACTATTGACACTACACCGGCCACTCTTGCATCTATCCTTAGTAGATGTTCTTTTTCTAACCGAGAATCCTACATTTCTACCATGTGTTTTGTAAAACTCGTACAACGCGTCTGTGCTTTCAAACTTCATGCCCACTTCCGGAACAACCACAAATCCACAATAACATCTTCTCCCTCATCTTCCTGTTCATATGCATCTGTGAATTAAGAATATGTATACATAGACTAATTTAGATAAATACAGACGTTATTCATCAATACTATACAGACAAACTACTTCATCAACTTTAAACTATGATCAAACCACTTAAATATAATAATATTAAATACAGACATTATAAAATTAAATACAGACAAAGTACTTGATAGCCAATTACTAGAACAAATGAATAAAAGATTATGAAATGCAGACATTATTAAATGCAACACAGACAAGTTCAAAGAATGATCAAACAAATTACAAGAACAAATGAATAAAATATTATTGAAGACAGACATTAATAAATGAAATACTGATACAGTAAAGTACTTGATAAAGTTTAAAAAAGATTAAACCTCTAACAAGAACAAATGAAATAAATATTATTACATACAGACATTAGTAAATGCAATACTGACAAGTTCAAAGAATGATCAAACGAATTACAAGAACAAATGAATAAAATATTATTAAATACAAACATAATTAAATGAAATACAAACAAACAAAATAGTACTATAATGACATTTTAAACACGCTCTACGTATTATACTCACATTCTAAAACAAGTGTATGAACTTCATAATGTGTTCCTATCAGGTGAGAAAACACACAACGAACTAATACATAATTATGGCAACATATTTGTAATTGTCTGTAGAACATACAATAAAATGTCTCCACGCAGACATTTATAATTCTCTACATACAAAAACATACAATATTAATTTGTATGTGCTTTCAAAAAAATGCTGCGTGTGAAGCTTCATTACACCACCACATAATAACCATGAAGAAACGACACCACATAAACACCTACCTTGCTCAGCCTCCACAGTGTTCCCATCCACCGCCCCTTCATCGCCTTGCGTGGCAGTCGGAGTGTGTTCAACTCATTCCGTTGTGTCTTCATGACCTTGCATCCCTCCCTCCGTCGCTAGTTCACATCCTTCCGTCGCGACTGGCATGTTAGCAGGACTCGGCCCGAACATATCCTCCCATGTCCACCCCAGGCCCACTTCGTCGTCTCCGACAAACTGTATATTCGCTTCCATGTCGTTCGTCGTCAGAGAAGGAAGACTCGATAACCAGCAGCACTCGATCACCAGTTAATACGGAGAAGACCACCACTTTAGAGAAGGAAGAGATCATAGACAAACGAAAATAATGGGACAAACAATTCATTGGTTGCGCATGGGGGTTAAGTTTTGGAATGGAGGAGAGAGGATGAGGGTTAAATGGGTTAGAAAAAGGGAGGGGATGAATTTTTTATGATGTGTACATTTAGAAGGCCATGTACACAAAGCATTTTCCTTATTTTTTTTTGTTATTACTCAATTCAACTAGCCAAATAAAAAATTGATTTTGTTGGAGGAAATCGGACTACTCGAAACAATATGGTCAGCAAACTTCTTCCAACTTCTTTGCCTTTTCTTTTTAGAGAAAATTGAGTATATAAACCCAATTAAATATGTGCCTTTAAGTTAATGTTATGGATTAACAAAAATAAACTAGATAGCCTTTATAAAAAATTAACACCACCGTTTAGTACGGAATCCAATTGTGATATGTAGTATTTGGAAGGTTTTATATTTGTAACCAACTAACCATAACTGCAAATGAAAGGTTGGATCTAGTATTTAAAAATTTACGGAATTCATATTAACAACAAATGTGCTATCTATTTATTTTTATAAAATAGGGGTTACTAACTTTGAGGCCTAATATTTTAGGCTATAACCATTTTTCTCTTCTTTTTATTATTACGGAGTATATCCCAGAAAACTCTTGATAAATTTCCATCGCTGTACCAAGAAAAAATTCGAAACCGTGCATTTGCTCAGAAAATTTAAAGAACGAAAATGCCTCTGAGAAACGACGACTACAAGTTTCTTCAGATAGTAGACGCCATTGCTTCAATTAACCAAAGAGTCAATCTCATTGGCGTTGTCACTGAGAGTGGCTTGCCTAAGCAGTCAAAAGGCACTGGTAAAAAAATCTGCTGAACACTCCACTGTTTCTCAATACTCCACATATAATTTATTCCCTGAGTTCATCATCTTTAACTTTTCATGATCATTTTTGTGAATTATACGCAGACTGTTGTGTTTCAATCAAAATTATTGATGAGTCTCGGCCGAGTCATGGAATTTCAGTCAATTTTTTCGAGGAGACCGTGGACAAGCTGCCTCATGTGATGACAGTGGGGGATATTATTCAGCTTTCTCAAGTTGTGGTAATATCATTTAAATAAATCTATTTGTTTATATAATTACTTTTCGTAAAAGAGAATTGCTCTTTTGTTTAGTTTGTTACTGGACTGCCCAATGATTAATAGTGAACCATTGGGGCATATAGTAATCTGTATTCCAGTTATTTTCCGAGTTATTATTCCTTAGCATAGGTGCTAAAATTGATACAGGGCTTTATGAGCATATTTGGTTTTATTTTGGTCTGTTTGCATTCATGCTTATAATGTTTTACTGAGTAGTATAAGAAGTAACACTAAATAAGCATTCCAAATTGGTCGAACCAACTACACTAATGGCTCAGTTGAACAAATGATTGCTTTTAAGGCTTCAAAAGTTTAAGAAAGAGAAAGGTTACTGACAAAATGTATCTTGTGCAGATGAAAAGCTATGGACACTATGGACCTGATGCTGGTGTTAATGCTTCATACCACAAGAAGTTCTCATCATTTGCTTTATATGAAGGAAAAAATGGTACAAGCTTCACACCATACCAATGTTCTGCTAAATTTCGTGCCAGTGAACGAGATAATCAATTTATACTGGGCCTACGAGACTGGTTGGCTGGTGAACAGATTGATACAGGTGCTTCAGTGACAAGCATGGTGACATTTTTTTCTAATTAAGAATATATTTGTAATAAGAGTTCTTTATATGCTTCCTCTCCCTCTACCTCTAATGGCCTTTTTCCCCTGACAGGGCCTGCTAATTTGTTACATTTGAAAGAGTTAAAGGAAGGCATTGACCTCAATTTAGTTTGTAAGGTACTCG